GAGAGATGATGATGCTGCTGCTGCTGCTGCAAACATCTGCCACCACCGTTTCTTGTTTGATTTTCTCATGCAAAGCCCAAACTCGGATTTGTACAAATGTCCAGACGGCAACACGTGTAATGCCCAACGGTTGAGTTGTGGAAACCGACTGTGCACAGTTTTTGTTGGTTTGTTATCTACGCCTTTCAAAAAAATAATCCATCGCCTTAGCACTTTGTAAATGTCAACAGCTATCTTTGCAGGAAGTCAAACTGTTATTGCATTCGCTCCTCTGCCTGTCCATTGTGTGTGCATGCACACGACACATGATATCGGAGGGATATACACCACGTGTGCCCACGTTCTGACCGAAAGTGTGCATGTGCACGCACAAATCAGCACAATTAACACGTGCACAGATCGCCCCTTTTCGGCACGAGGGGAAGTCATTGTGTTCCGCTGTGGTCAATAATCAATGCTGCTTATTCGCTCTCCTCATTGGTATGTTTAAATTGTGCTGTATATAGGAACACCAATAAATATATAATTAAATTATTCCTTTTGCATAGGGGGTCGTCCATAAATGACGTCACGCGATTTTGGACGATTTTTGACCTCCCCCCCCCCCACCGGTCACACGGCGTCACAAAAAGTCAGACCCCCCCCCTCCCTCAAATATCGCACCAGGTACTCATTTGAGGCTCAGTCGACCTAGGGGAGGCCCAGCACTGGTTCAGATATTCACAATCGACGTTGGACCCGAGTAGGAATCGAACTCGGGCGGCCGATTTGAGCGCGCAGTGCGCGAGCCGCTCACTACACATGTGCACGCGGATGAAAACAACTTCAATGCCTTGGAGGGGCAATGAGGATGGGATCTAAAGTACATCCCTCGGTATTCAGGGCTCTCTACTTTATTCAGGAGTCCCCACACACTGTCACAGCATCTCACGGGGCAGAGTGCTTCAAAGGGGGCGTTAAGACCAATGGGATCTATCGAGTCAAACTGGGGACTTTAGAGCTCTCGTAGGAATCTTTGTGGGAGCACACCATTGCGTGCCAGCGCCATAAGTTCCTTGGCAAAGTCAAAGGCCATGACGGATATCTTAGGCGGGGGGCGGGGGGGGGGGGGGTGATAGGGAGCGGTGGCATTCTTTAAATAGGGTGCTCATCACAAAGTAGTAATTCATATTCTTTGGGTCTTTCGGTAAAGCCACGTAGATCGAATTTTTTTTTTTTAAATCACGACGTTTCGATCGCAACACAAGCAATCGTCATCAGGTGAAAAAATATAGCGGGATGACGATTGCTTGTGTTGCTATCGAAACGTCGTGATTTAAACAAAAAATATTTTTCTATCTACGTGGCTTTACCGAAAGACCCAAAGAATATGAATTCCTGCAGGTCACGAAAGCTTTAAGTCAAGATTAAAGTAGTATTTGTTTTATTGACTCAGAACGAATGATGGCCGAGTTCATCTTCGTGCTGGGTTTGAACTTGCATAGTTTCTGTTTGCGAGCTGGACAGGCGGCGGGGGGGGGGGCTTCAAAGGCAACCCCTTTGAACGTGAGGTGTCTCTGCACCACCGAGCACTCGTGCGTGCCAGAGTGTGCGCTGTCAGGCATGCACTCTCGGGGTGGATCACTCAGCAACGGTGTGGTTAGCGTGCTGCACCACGCAGCCCGGTGACTTGAGTTTAATTGCCAATCAACAATATAACATCGGTAGCAGTTAATCTGCACCGGTCCTTTTCCTCCACCTAGGTTGGCTCAGCCTGTAATGAACATCTGGATGTGGTAGTGCAAACATCAGCGCCGGGGAGTCCAAGGAGGTTGGGTGTGGTGGGCTGGTCGCCACCACCACTTGGTGTGCTGTGCTGGCTTTAATGGGTGCTCGCTGACAGCACGTACAGCAGCAAACTCTATGTCGGCTATAAGAGGAACATTTGTCTTTGTCTCTGTTGTGAGGCAGCTGCCATGCACACACGCAGTCAAATACAAGTTGGACTGGCAGGCAGAGGTCATGAATAGCAGCTAAATGGCTGAACAACAAAAAAGCGTGATACTGCGTTGGCAGCAATATTAACGCACGAAATAAAATAGCACACCACTGTTTTAATGAACGTAACTGAATATACTTAGATAAATTGCTGTTATTTTTACCCTATTACCCACGACTATTAATATGCACATTCCCAAACAAGTCAAAAGTCATGTTATTTGGTTGTTGATTCTTCCTTTTATCTGCGTTTTTTTTTATGGGGTAAGAGGAATGACCCAAAGTGCTGGCAAATTCATTTTACAGTATCTGCATTTATATGTGAATAACGGTGCAGATGTCAGAAGTTATTTCTAAATAGGTGCGGATAAGAGGATACACATATAGCTCCCCCAAGTCAATGTAGACTGATGTTTTGGGAATTAACATTCTTCAGAGTAAACTATAAAACAAAAACTTTTTTTTTACCAGGGAAAGCCCAATGAGTTATGTAGCTCTGTCTCAGAAGCGACCTGGCCACAAATGAAAGCTCAACGAAGTGGCTTATCATGCGGGAATGTATAGTGGCCAAATACTCCAAACACATGTTTCTACATATGGAGGGAAAAACCGGAGGACTCAGAAAAATCCACACGACCACGGGGAGAGAGAACATGCAAACCTCCAAATATACAGGCGTCAGGGTCAGGATCGAACCAACAACCCCCTGTATACCAGGCAAGGTAGTTAACATCTCTCCACCGTGGCACCCTAAATAGAAAGAGGCAGGAAAGAGGGCTACCTGATTGACTGACTTATAGCCATAGATCATATTACACTGTGTTGTCTGCAAAACACTGAATACTTTCTGGGTACCCTATGTACCGGTTAAATCTGCCATGTGCATGTGGAATGGACACCACTGACTCTGTAGGACCGATGCTAATGAGCGCCAGGGGAAGAAAAAAATCCATCTACTGTAATCAACTTGACAATTAACTTTGAGTGATAGGTCAGCCGAGTTTCTGTTAAGGTTGGCTCAATGGACAACGCAGCAATATGTATTGGCCACATTCTCCTCTCCTGTGCACACACTGCACCCAAGGACTTGTTTATGAAGGCAACATCGACCTACGTGAGCTCCAGCATGGGTTCAGATGCGGTTAAACACTAATGTTGTGTTTGGACAGTAACTTGCGCACATCTCATATTCTTGGTTCATTCTCTTCTACGGTAGTCACGTAGAAGGGAATTAATAAAAAAAACAATAAAAAAACAATACAATATTTCCCTTCTTCGTGACTTTACCGAAAGAACCAAGAATATGAATCCCTGCAGTCACGAAAGCTTTAAATCGAAATGCGCACATCTCGTCAAACAGGTGTTGGGACATGCTCAGTGGGGAGATTTAATCATTCTTATGACAGGAATCAATCAATTTCAAAAAATTAAACTGTTGACGTTCCACAAGTTGATACACATTTTATCCAACTTAATAAGATGACGATTGTATCAAACTCTGACGAGCAATTGTACTCTTGACTTTCTCAATGTGAGCCAAGCGCTTTCTGCAGCTCCACACAGCCAAATGTATTCATATTCTCACAACGATTGCAAGATAAAAAAAAAACGCACACATGCGCATTGCTCGAGTATATATGCAGTACAAATAAAGTTTTTTTTTAAATGTTTTGTTTTACAATAATACACTGATGAGAGACCAGCCATCATGATTTTAGCGGTACGGATTTTGACAGGGGTAGTTAATGTGAAGCCCTGGGAACTTTTCACCCCTTTTGAAAGGTGTGCTAAATACACATCGCCTCATTACTCACGAATATATTAAACACGAGTGACAGTATGTGGGTTGCAAAAACTTCTGAGGAGTTGCTCATTTATCATATCCTGTAATAGCATATTTAAACAAGGCCTGTAAGAATGGAAGAGACATACACATTCAGCGTTCTGTTTTGTTTGTATTACTGTTCAGCGAGTGCTGTTAGCCAATCACTATGACAACAGATGCAGCCAGCAACTAACAGCACTCGCTAGTCGACTCGCATAACACGGCCTGCCCGACTCCTGACTTCAGCAAGGTTCATGGAAGTTGGCGAAAGCAATGATGGGTGTTCCAAAGTCGTGTCGCGTCTGGCAACGTTACACGGTGCTTGAGACCAGCACGGATAAGAGGAAGGCGGGCCAGTCTAGTCGAGAAAAGTCCTTTATTTAGGTGGCGGTATCACGGCATGAAGTTCATGGGTACCATCATGCGATCGGAGCAATAAAAGAAGACTAAGCACAACCCGTCGCGCGAACTCTGGTCGTCCTCGCAGCGGCTTTTAGTGGATCATCGAACGAAGACGGTCACCGCATCACGCGCTTTCAGATGTGCTTCTGCGGCCGTCTGGAACGCTCTTCCTTCAGATGTTAGGAAGCCAATGGAGCTATGTACTTTTAAATCATCTAGATTGAAAACTAATTTCCTTAGAACTGCTGTTTGTGTTTAGTTTGTTGTCCTTCCCCCGCACCTCTGATAAGCATGGTTTGCTACGTACGGTGTGAAATAAGTTAAACATACATAAGAAAGAGAGTGACTGAATGATAGCGACAGAGAGAGAGAGTGAGTGAGTGGAGTGAATAAGTGAGTGCAGGGTCATCAATAATAAAACATTATTGAGGCCAGTATATTCACAAGCGGGTGATTTCACAGCACCTTGCCTTACCACCTATGTCTTCCCAGTACTGAAGTTCACACATTACACAACGTATACATCATTAAGGCTTATTTGGCCTCAGGGAGGTGCAGTTCAGATTAAGATCACAGATCAGTGTGCTAATTATCATGCCACCACTTCATACACAGATAATTTTACTATGTATAGTACGTATGTTGAACCTCTTTCGCACCATACGTAGCCAACCGTGCTAATCGGTGGTGCGGATTGATCATCGTAACATATGTATCACTGTCTTTTTTTTATTTCACATACTTAAATCACAAACAAACAACGAAACGATTGTAATGGATGCAAAAATGTCCTCACCATTGCCGCAATTCGTCCACGGAAAAGCGAAGCCGAGCCTCAGATCAGAGCAGGCATTCTGACGCGAACGCCGTGCGCCTTGTGAAGTGTTCTGCCTGCATTCAAAGTCACACCCCAAAAAATAAAAAAAATATATATACAGATTTGAGAAAATGTAGCATTCGAAAGAACACCTGCAGGGCTTCTTTGCTACCCAGCAGGGGGTCTAGTTTTTCCTGTTGCTGCAGCCTCTGCGCGTGTGCATGGGTGCGGAGGGGTTGATGGTGTGCATTGATTCACGCGCCGTCAGTCAGGTACTGGCCTGTCCCTTTCAACGAGCTGCCAAAACCACACGACATTTGTCACAGACAGGCACCGTGAAGTGGCCGCAGCGGGTAGATTGGTGCATCGCACTTAACCGCAGGCAAGGGATCAACTCTTCATAAATCACAAAACACTCTCGGTCGTGAATGCAGCATCCGCAAAACAAAAGTTTTGGGGGGAGAAATGTACACACACACCTGCTACCTGATCTGTTGATCTATTCAGAAGAAATTAACTTGGGCACGATGTTTGAGGGAACGGCAGCAAGGAAATGTACAAAATGGGGTGAACAATGCCGAAATAGAAGACATGGTATTGAAGGACAGGAGCATGCAGGGGAGGTAGCATTCAGCTGTGTGAGACTGGAAGCAATGGTGCAAATGACAAGATTCTCAACTAGGAATAAGATCAATTATGCCGCTTACGCATACAAAATGTCTCATTATAATTGTGCGCCACATGCTGACTGCATTTATATAAAACATACCAGGACATATTCTTGGTTCTTTCGGTAAAGTCACGTAGAAGGGAAACAATAAAATAATAAAAATATAAAACAATACATTTCTCACGACGTTTCGACTGCAACACAAGCAATCATCATCAGGTGTGAAAACCACAGCAATACATTTTGAAAAAAGTGGCAGGTTTATTTAACGTTAGCACCACGGAGAGCGATTTGACAGTTTGTTCAGATGGACTAGTCCATCTATGTTCGGAAAAGAGGAGGGGGGAGACGAAAATAATGGATGCGGTCCGAAAGCCACCGTAAGCGTGAACAATCAATTAAGACCCGAAATGGTTTATCAAATCCTTCCAATGATTGCTAAGCCAGAATCCATCTTCTCGGTTGAAATTGTCTCTGTGTTTGTATATGTGGAGAGCCTCATGAACGAATCTCTCATGGTAGCCAGATGGCTTGCAGAGTACCTTTTTCTTGGAGAAGTCAATGTCATGTGAGCCTACTGAATTATAACAGTGATCTGCCAAGGCCGAGGTGTTGGTCCTACCATGTTTTAGGTCTGCTTTGTGTTCACGAATGCGGTCCGAGACATGTCGTTTGGTTTCTCCAATGTAACTACTACCACAGAGGCAACTTAGTTTGTAGACGCCAGGGTACTGTATGTCCGGAATCACATCTTTTACAGACGGAACCAGATCACGGATTTTATGTAATGTATTGAATCGGACCTGGATCTTGTGTTTATTCCCCGCAATGTAGGGTAAAGTGATGGTTTTGAAATGCTCCTCAAGAGGGTCCTTCTTCGTGGTGCTAACGTTATATATTAAAAAAACACTTTTTTCAAATTTCCTTGCTATGGTTTTCATACCTGATGATGATTGCTTGTGTTGCAGTCGAAACGTCGTGAGAATTTTATTGTTTTATATTTTTATATATATTTTATTGTTTCCCTTCTACATGACTTTACCGAAAGAACCAAGAATATGAATCCTTACAGTCACGAAATCTTTAAATCAAAATACCAGTACATTTTAATATTTGTCCTGCTCTTGATTGGAATACAATTTTTAAAGTAAGGATACTATTTATTTCAGATTATACATTTCACAAACCATTTTTATAATAAAATAAAACTGATGTCAGAATAAAGCTCTTCTGAAAAGTGTTGAGTGTGGACATGTATTTACCATGAAGTGGAATGAGAATGGATGATGATAATTGATGATTGTTTTAGCCTGAAAGAGGATAAATGATTCATCAATTCGTAAATATTTTTGTTTTATAAATATCGTAAATAATACGTAACATACACGGCCATCCGGGTGACATTGTGCTTAGCAATGTGGAATTTCCGCCACTGGCAGGAGGCCACCATTGAGAGATGAGTACAAAGTCAATATTCATTTGTGAACTGAGACATTCTGACTTCAAGAAAGTGTGTCTTGGCACAAAAGTGCACCCAGCCTGGTACAACCACCACAGTGACATAACCACCAGTCAGATGAAAATTGTGGCTTGTTGTTGCTGTGTGTGTGTGAATGCACGTGTGTGTGTGAATGCACGTGTATGTGTATGTGTGAATGCACGTGTGTGTGTGAATGCACGTGTGTGTGTGAATACACGTGTGTGTGTGTTTATTTGGAGCGATAGTGCATCAGTTAGCACGCCGTGGTCCAAACCCGGCGACTCGAGAACGGTTCCCTCTCACGGTCCTGGGCCTCCCCTAGGTCAACTCAGCCTAAAATGAGTACCTTGTGCAATGTGTAAACATCACCACTCGGGAGACAAAGGTGGCCGGGCGTGGTGCTGGCCACCCACCCCCACCCTTTCGTGTGCCGTGCCGGCCTTCAGGGGTGCTCACTAACAGCACTTGCCCCAAAAAGTATGCTAAGGCTATACGGGGAATCTTTTGTCTTTGTATTGAGTATGTGTGTTTATCATGCTATATTTGCGACCATAAATAACACCGAACTAATTTAAATTATTTTCACTCCAGGCATTCACATCACGTGCAACCCAATTATCCTGGTGACGCACTCACGTCTGTACGTTCCGTCTTACGCGCACCTGCACGCCTCGCACGGTCCCGCCCCGAGCAAGCTTTGCACAATCCCCCACCCCCTCTCCCGGCTTGACAGAACAGGACCGACGTGCGACAGACAGCCCAGCGCTCCGCGAGCGGCAGCCGCTTTAAACAAATACTAAACGTAGTTATTTGGTGATGCTGCTACTCTGGCAGCGGTGCAGAAGCGTGGTTAAAAGAACCAAACTGAACACGCTCGTCTTCATATGAAATATACTGTATATAATGTATATATAATCGATTTAAAGAAGGACCATTGCCCGAAACGTTGCCTGTTATATATTTTATTTCAAGGTCACAGTATTGAGTGTTTTTACATTTAAAATAAGATATTCACATTGCTGAGAAATTCTGAATGTATTTTATATATTATGTGGCCAGTATACAACAGAGGAAAGCAAAAAAATAGTACCACTTCATGAGAAGCCTTCAGTGATGTTTCAACAAATAAGCTAGCTCCCACCATAGGAATGTGGCCATTCCTTTTCATCTACAAATTGTATTGCAACTGTGCTATTGGTACCTTGCTACGAATCCCCAAACGGGGATTCACTCAGTTATCCAGAGGGCTTGACCACAGATAACACCAGATAATTGTATAACTCTATTTAACCGTGGTCTGGCCCATGGATATATTTGGGTGGTCATGCTCCCTGGATATGTATAAGAGAGGACTGGGTTTTGTTGATCCTAGATAAAAAAAATCATGAATAATCGGGGTCACGTATGAACGGAGTTTGGCTGTACTTCTCAGATCCCTTGAAATTACTACGCATCCACACGCCCCGCTGTAGAGATGTGAATCGTATAAAGTTAACCGAACATGTTTACGTTGTTATTTTGGAAATCTAGATTTTTACAAAATTAACTGAAAATCCCAATTTAACAAAAAACACATGTTTTCCTGTTCATTGTATCGGTGACAACATTTGAGACCATCCCATTTCTACACTTGAAAAGCCGGTTTAACGATGGGTAGCTGCCCAAATTTGGACCCAGGATCAAATTCATAATCAATGCAAGCTAATTTCTTACACCTTGACTATTTAACTAACTATTTAGTAACTTTTTTATTTTACCAGTTAAAGCCCACTGAGCTATATAGATATTTTTCAGAAGCGACCTGGCCACAAATGATAGCTCAATTAAGTGGCTTATCACGTGGAAATGTATTGCAGCCAAATACTATATACCCATGTTTCTAAATTTGGTAGGAAAAAAAACGGAGGACCTGGAGAAAAATTCACACAACCACGGAGAGAAACATGCAAACTCCAAATGTGTAAGTGTAAGGGTTGGGATCAAATTCATGAATCCACGACCTCCTGTATACCAGGTGAGGTAGTAAACATCTCGCCACCACGGCGAGATGTGGCACCTTGAGTCAGCCAGCCTCCTACAGGAACGTGGAATTTCCACGCATGACTCAGGGCTACTAGTGGTGATGAGCACTATCCAAACAATGCTCTTGTATAACTTGACCTTTTGCGAGATCAAATCCCAGTCGGTGTCAGTTGAACCCATCATCTATCTGTGGTTTTACAATCAAGTGCCACTTTGAAGAAAGTCAAGAGCGGTTATACAATTGTTAAACTCGTCTCTATAACAGTGAAGAGCAGGGCACAATATTCGTTTGAACGTGGAGAAATGTTTAGTCGAACACCACATGCCGGTTGAATGAGAGAAACAAATGCAGTGTGGCAATGAATTATGAAAATAAAGCTAATGAAAAGCATAAAACCACGCTCTGTGTTATTTGTGATGTACCGGGGGATATACTGTAGGTGTGAAAGAGGCACATCATCTGCTTATTTGCGAAACTATGGTGTTGCTTTGATAAATGACTCCATATTCCCTGCCATAAATCTAACATACATTGATTTTAGTTAATCATAAATAAATGATACATGTGCTATTTTGACCAAACGCGCACTTTTTCTTTTGTGCCGATCTGACACATTTTTCATTACACAAGCAGTCGCAACTCGCAATGGGCGCTCACCTGGTTGAAAAACGAAATCAATCAATGTCTATGAATAATTATTGTATTTTTCATATTAAATGCGTATGGCGATGCGGTCATGGTGTAACGGTTGCCACACTGGGCTTGCAATCCAGTGGTTGCTGGTTTTATCTCCTGGCATGGCAGGTGAAACAATGGACAATATCATCAAATGTCCCTCCCTTTTTGCCCCAACCAACAGTTACAAATGGGTACCCCACAATTAACAAAATAATTTAAAGCA